GTCAGACAGGTGTGTGTGTGAAGTGTTGGGGGGTCAGACAGGTGTGTATGAAGTGTTGGGGGGTCAGACAGGTGTGTGTGAAGTGTTGGGGGGTCAGACAGGTGTGTGTGTAGTGTTGGGGGGTCAGACAGGTGTGTGTGTAGTGTTGGGGGGTCAGACAGGTGTGTGTGTAGTGTTGGGGGGTCAGACAGGTGTGTGTGTAGTGTTGGGGGGTCAGACAGGTGTGTCTCACCTGTGGAGCTTCCTGAGCGCAGAGAAGCAGAACACGGTGAACATCAGCATCACACACACTTTGATGGGCAGCTCTGGAAACATCAACTTCCTGTCACTTCACTCAGACGTGAACAGAAAAACATCAGAACCTTCGGATCAGAACCGACCGCCGTTAGAACGTTCAGAAAAGTTCTGGACAGAAGATGCTCCAACACCCCTCCTCTACGCCACGCTCTTATTTTGAAGTTCTGTCAGCAGAGTGCGTTTCCTGAACGACTCGAGCAGATCAACGTGTTGGAGCTCCAGGTCAACCCGGCTGAGGAGCGGCGCTGGGACAGGAAGTGACCTGACCTTTGACGTCTGAGGGGGATCAGAGCCGCTCTTACTGGATTTTGTCTGAAGTTCTGGTGTCTAAAGGCGGAGCTGGTTCTGATCCAGATTCACGTTTGACAGTTTTGTGTTGATTTTTAAAGCTACAGGACGGGTTCTGTTTAGACCAGCGGTTCTGATTACCTGCGGGGGTGAAGAGCAGTGGGAACAGGGAGTAATGTCCTGTGGTGCTCAGCAGCAGGAATGTCCCAGCATCCTCTCTGTTCTCCACCGCCAGGATGCTGCAAAAAACAAACATGGATAAAATTCTTCGGATGTTTCACCGCCCGCAGCCTAACGGGTCGGACCGGGTCGGCCCACCTGAGCGGCACGATGGCGAGGAGGATGGCCTTCTCGTGAACATGCCATCCGAACATGAAGGAGCCCAGAGCGCAGAGGAGCAGGCAGCGCAGGAAGCCCCGCCCACCAGTGGGACGCCACCAGATGGACGCCACCGCCGGCTTCAGAGAGGAGGAGAGTTAAAAACACCAGAACCTAGGAGGTCCAGCTGAGCTGTGGAACTGGACCGGTTCCGACTCACCAGGATGGATAGAAGAGTGCAGACGAGCGTGACGGAGGGAGAGATGGAGGGGAGCACCGAGTGCTGGAACTCCTGGACCAAACCACCCGTCATGGAGGCCTGAGGAAGCTCCGCCTCCTGCAGCAGCTTCAGACGGACGCCTCAACAAAATAAAAGCTTTATATTTAAACTGTCAAAATAAAAGTCATTTTCTATAAATCTGAACTTGAGCTCAGAAGTTCTTTCTTTATAAAACCTAAACTCCAGAGGGGGGGGAGCCTCACCGAGCAGCACCAGAACTTTATCCAGAACGTTGTACAGGGCCCAGACGTTGGGGGCCCAGTAGGCGTGGCAGAGCCCTCGTTTGAAGGGGAAGAGTCGGGTCAGAACCTGCGGCAGCTGGCCCTGAAAAACACAACAGCTGCAGCATAACAAGGAAAAAGGTTCTGGTTCTGGTCGGACTGACTGGCGGGTCTCACCATGACAACAAACGGACCGAAGGACAGAGCGAAGACAGACGTGACGATGCTGCCTAGAACCAAGAGACGGACCGGGCTGAAACTCCTCCACCTGATGGAGCCGTCTGTACAGAACCAGACAGAACCCCGGGTGGGTCAGAACCACAGGTCCTTCAGAACCACCCGTGGCTCAGAATCTCAGTGTGAGCCGGTACCGTTGTTGTCCTGGGTGAAGCAGTAGCTCCTCAACAGGAAGACGCCGTACGCCGGCGCCACATAGAGGAAGATGTGCTTCAGGTTGAGCAGGACGGCAAACAGCAGCGCTCCCTGCAGGTGGCGAGCCTAAACAGGAAACAGGAAGTGAAAATGTGGGTGGAAAAGGTGGAACACCCACATCTCCCTCCACCTTCATTCGCCCCACTCTGGGCCCCTGAGCAAGGCCCTTAACCCCCACCATCTGCTCCCTAAACAGGTCTCTCTTGAAAATGAGTTCTCGTGGCTCAATGAGTCGACCTGGATAAATAAAGAGTAAATGGAAAAAAAAGATTTCAAAACAGGGCAGCACGGTGGTGCAGCTGGTAGAGCTGCTGCCTCTCAGCGAGCAGGTCCCTGGTTCAAACCCCGGTCCAGGGGCCTTTCTGGGTGGAGTTTGCATGTTCTCTCCGTGCTGCGTGGGTTTTCTCCGGGTACTCCGGTTTCCTCCCACAGATTAAAAACATGCATGTTAGGCTGATTGGTAACTCTAAATTGTCCCTAGGTGTGAGTGAGAGACTGAATGGTTGTTTGTCTCGTTTGTCTCTATGTGTCCCTGTGATGGACTTGCGACCCGTCCAGGGTGTACCCCGCCCCTCGCACAGTGATTGCTGGACATGGGCACCAGTGACTCCCGTGACCCAAAATGGAATAAGCGGGTAAAGATAATGGATGGATGGATTTCAAAACATACATGAGTATTTTGAACTGTCATTTTTTTCATTCAATCTTTAGACGGTAAATCCCATTGAGCCTCGAGGACTCATTTACAAGAGAGACCTGATTTCAACAAAGAATGATGACAACAATGGACAACATCCATCCATCCATTCATCCATCCATCCATTTTCTTCCGCTTATCCGGGGTCAGGTCGCGGGGGTAGCAGCCTAAGTAGGGAGGCCCAGACTTCCCTCTACCCAGCCACTTGGTCCAGCTCCTCCGGGGGAATCCCGAGGCGTTCCCAGGCCAGCCGAGAAACATAGTCTCTCCAGCGTGTCCTGGGTCTTCCTCTGGGTCTACTCCCAGTGGGACGTGTCCCGAACACCTCACCAGGGAGGCATCCAGGAGGCATCCTAACCAGATGCTTGGCCACCTCAACTGTCTCCTCTCGACGTGGAGAAGCAGCGGCTCTACTCTGAGTCCCTCCCGGATGATCGAGCTTCTCACCCTATCTCTAAGGGAGAGCCCAGACACCCTGCGGAGAAAACTCATTTCGGCCGCTTGTATCCGAGATCTCGTTCTTTTGGTCACAACTAAAAGCTCATGACCATAGATGAGGGTAGGAACGTAGATCGATCGGTACATTAAGAGCTTCACCTTTTGACTCAGCTCTCTCTTCACCACAACAGACCGGGACAGCGCCCGCTTCACTGCAGACTCTGCACCTATCCTCCTATCGATCTCACGCTCCATTTTTCCCTCATTCGTGAACAAGACCCCAAGATACTTGAACTCCTCCACTTGGGGTAGGACCTCCTCCCTGACCCTGAGAGGGCACTCTACCCTTTTCCGGCTCAAGACCATGGCCTCGGATTTGGAGGAACTGATCTTCATCCCGGCCGCGTCGCACTTGGTTGCGAACTGCTCCAGCGAAAGCTGTAGATCACGATCTAATGAAGCCAATAAGACCACATCATATGCAAAAAGCAGGGACGCAATCCTAAGTCCACCAAAATGGATCCCCTCAACACCTTGGCTGCGCCTAGAAATTCTGTCCATAAAAGTTACGAACAGAATCAGTGACAAAGGGCACAGTGACAACAATAAACAGTTATAAAAAGTCATACAGATTTTTTTTCTTTCTTAACAAATAGGATGGCTAAAAAAAAGAAAAGTAGCAAAAAACAGCTAGATTCTAAGGTGATTGTAGAAAACTAAAAACAGGAACATGTCTGCATTGGTCCCCTCCAGGACATGACATAATGTGCTCACTATGACCTGTACCAGTTAAAAATCAGGCTGCAGCATTTTGGACCAGTTGTAGACGTGCAATGGAGGATTGAGTGATTCCAAACAGAAGCGCATTGCAGTAATCGAGCCTGGATGTTATGAACGCATGGATCACTCTCAAGATTCTTTTTGGGCAATATGGGCTTCAGCTTAGACAGTCTCAGCTGAAAAAAAACAGGATTTAACAATCATGTTTACATGACTGTAAAGTTTTAAGGAAGGGTCTATTATCACGCCCAGATTAATGACTCTTTGTTTCTCTAACGGAGCTAGAGAGGAAAGGTTGATGCAGTGGTTCATGAACGTGCCATTGGGATGGAACAACATGACTTCAAACTTCTTCTCATTGAAACTTAAGAAGTTTAAAGCCATCCAGTCCTGGATGTCAGCCAGGCAGTCAAGAAGAGGTTGAATAGAGTGTGTGCCTCTGTGCCTCAGGGGGAAGTAAATTTGACAGTCATCGGTGTAGAAATGAAAGGGAATGTTGTGTTTGTGGAAAATAGCACTTAGTGGCAGCAGTTATAAAGAAAAGAGAAGGGGACCAAGGATGGACCCCTGCGGTACCCCCCACTGAAGCGATGGGATGCTGAACTGAAATCTTTGATACCGACATAAAAGGTTCTGTCAGAGAGGTAGGACCTAAACCAATTGAGGGCTGACCCTGTGATGCCCACCCACTGCTCTAGCCTAGAAATGAGGATCCATGGTCGATTGTGTCAAAAGCAGATGTAAGGTCCAATAGGACAAGCAGCACAGAATCATCTGCATCAGTGGCTAGGAAAATGTAATTAAAAACCTTCAGTAGAGCCATTTCAGTGCTGTGGAGAGATTTAAAGCCAGACTGGAATAACTCTAAGATAGCGTGATCCTCCAATAAACATTTAAACTGAGACCCAACTATTTTTTCCAGTAGTTTGGAGGTAAATGGGAGTCTGGGGACAGGCCGGAAGTTGGACACGACTGAGGGGTCAAGGTTGGGTTTTTTCAGGAGAGGCTGGACAGCAGCATGTTTAAAGGTTTTTGGCACCACACCTGAGGATAAACTGCTATTCACAATAGCAAGAATACAGGGACACAGAGTAGGAAAAACCTCCTTTAGTAGTCAAGGGGGGACCACATCAAAGGAGGAACCAGATGGCTTCATGCTGCACATTACCTGCTCCAGAGAAGATGGAGAGATTGGCTTAAAGTGGTCAAATACAGCTGCACATTGAGATGGGATGGAAGGATCGTGAGCTGTTGGAGAAATGAGTGCCTGGATATTAGCAACTTTTTCTAAAAAGAGGGGGAAGTTCTCACACAGTTCAGTTGAGGCTTCCAGAGGTGAAGGTTCACTGAGGTGTAGAACTGCTTTCAGTGTGGAAAAAAGAACTTAGGGGTTGTGAGAGTTGGAGACAATTATATCAGAAGAATTTAGATTTAGCAGCTTTAAGTGCTTTCTAATAACGACGCCAACTCTTCCATAACATTTGAAAAGAAACCTGCAGCCGGTCTTTCCTCCACCTGCGCTCTGCTCTCCTACACTACTGTCTAACGGCTTGAGTGATGTCATTAAGCCAAGGTTCTGATTTAAGCTTAGTTTTTCTGGATTTAATGGGAGCAACATGGACAGAACATTAAAACAAACAGAGTTGAACTGTCGCCTGTCTGACCCCATGTCCACATGAGTAATGACAGTGTGACCTGGGGGGTGGATTGGGAGGAACGGCCTCTGATCTGAACCCGAGCGATGTTCTGTTGTTGGACTTCTGTCTAGTCATAGTTTGTCCAACATGAAAACCATGCTCCAACATAAGGGTGTCCATACGTGCACTTGGCACCAGGATGCCTGAGGTCGTAGATCGATGACTGACTTCATAGTCATGTCATCTGATTTGAGGCCGTTTGTTTTGGACATTCAGGTGAAGAAAGGAGCTGAGCTGTCAGCTGATCACCACCTGGTAGTGAGTTGGTGTTTCAGATGGTGGGGGAAGATGCTGGACAGACCTGGTAGACCCAAACGTGTGGTGAGGGTTTGCTGGGAACGCCTGGCAGAAGAACCCGTCAGAGAGATCTTCAACTCACACCTCTAGGAGAGTTTTACCTGCATCCCAGCGGAGGTGAGGGACATTGAGTCCGAGTGGACCATGTTTTGCTCCTCGGTTGTTGAGGTATCTGCCTTGAGCCGTGGCTGCAAGGTTGTCGGTGATTCTCGTGGTGGCCATCCTTGAACTTGGTGGTGGACACCCCAGGTTAGGGAGGCTGTCAAGCTGAAGAAGGAGTCGCTGGTGAAGATTCTCAGTCTTCCAGGACATGGTAAATCAATAAAAGGTTAAAAACAAAAACAACTGGACTTTATTTGTAACTGAAGACGTTTCACTTCTCATCCAAGAAGCTTTCTCAATTCAAAGGAACAAGGAATGTGTGATTCAAGTTATAAAGCAGAGGTGTTCTGTAAGCTTGCATAATGCAGATTGACCTCTCACTCTTCACAATGGAGGATCATTAGGGTCTTTGTTAGTCTCACCCACGGATGGGCCACTCTGGTCACATGGTTGAAATTCCTGATAGGTGTGAAACTGGATGGGTATCAGTCCTAAAGCTGCATTACATGTTTTTGATAGTTGAAATCTGAGACCCCCTCCTCTGTTTAAAAATGGTTGATCTCTTTTTAAATAAACAGACTCCATCACTCCCTCTCAAACCATCTCTCCTCTCTGTCCAAAATATGAACATTCTGGTCCTCAAAGGAGTGTCCTGTTAGAAGTTTAATCTTACTGGAGGCCCGATCTGACCTACTCTGAACTATCACCTGGTTTAGACCAGATCAGATGAGTCTCAGAGGCTCACAATGAGCGATCCCAGTGTCAACACCCGATGAAGAGTCATTTTTGTTTGCTTGCTTCCAACACTTAGATTTGCACATCACCCTATTATCCACCATCAGAAACAGATAAGACCAATGATGTCAGACAGTCGCCCCACTGAAACACACTGATAGGCTTTGCCCGCCCCGGATGTGGAGGCGGAGCCAAGGGCCAGCATAAGCTGGGGCGTTCTGTTGCACAGAGCCTCCGCTTCCACTTTTGGGTTAAGACAAGTCAGATGGACGCCTCAGCACTGAACTTTTAACTTTTCCTGCCTAAATGGTAAATAGAATTTACCTCTCCTGATTTTATTGAGTTCGTGTGAGTTTCTTCTCCACCTGGGAACAAAAGAACCGGAAGGGTGCCATGGTCAGACGGCTGATAGTCCCTCATCCTTGAGGTGCATGTGAACAGCTGAGTCTTGTCCTACAGAGGTGGTTCTCCTGTGTTGAGCCATGCGTCTGTGAAGAGGCTGTTTAGTTTCTCCAATGTAGAGATCTGAACAGTCTTCGCTGCAATGGACCACATACACTACACCACTCTGTTTGTGTATGGGTGTTTTGTCTTTAAGGTGGACCAGCCTCTGTCTGAGAGTCCTGATGGATTTGAAATGTACTGGGATGTTTTGTTTGGAGAAAATCCTTCTGAGTTTCTCAGATGCTCCAGCAACATAAGGGATGACAATGTTTTTACATCTCTTCTCCTGGTTCTGTTCAGTGGTGTTTTGTAGATTTACTTGCTGACTTGATAAAGTCTTGACTTGATAAAGTCTTGACTTGACTCACAGCTTTAGGACTGATACCCAGCCAGTTTCACACCTATCAGGAATTTCAACCATGTGACGAGTGGCCCCCTTAGTGGGTGGGACTAACAAAGATCCCAACGGTCCTCTGTTGTGAAGAGTGAGAGGTCAGTCTGCATTATGCAAGCTTACAGAACACCACAGCCCTATAAGTCGAATCCCACAATCCTTGTTTCTATGAACTGAGGAAGCTCCTCGGAAGAAAAACAAAACGTCTTCAGTTAAAAACCATACCATACCATACCAATTTATTTATATAGCACTTAAGTCTTCAAATAAAATCCAGTTGGTTTGTTTAACCTTTTTTTGAAGGAGTCCAATCGGTCCTTGTTGACTGGTGGAACTCCGGAGGCAGATGACGAGTACTGGAGGGTCAAGTGGTCCACAGCCTTGGCTGTTGCTGAGGCAAAAGCTCAGATGTGGGAGGAGTTCAGTGAGACCCTGGATAGAGACTATCGGTCGGCTCTGAAGACATTCTGGCAAACCATCAGGCAGCTTGAGGAGGGGAAAGTAGCTCTTTAATAACGCTGTGTTCAGTGAAGGTGAGGTGCTGTTGACCTCAACCAGTGATGTCGTCAGAAGGTGGAAGGAATATTTCTCAGTCCTTCTCAATCCCACCAGCATGTTTTGCATTGAGGAAACTGAGCTGGGGACTTTGGGGCTGGAAGCTCTGTGGCGGCAGGGCTCCAGGAGTGAATGAGATCCGCGTTGATTGCCTTAAGGCTCTGGATGTTGTAAGGCTGTCGGTTGACGTTGTTGCAACATTGCGTGGGCATTGGGGGCAGTGTCACTGGATTGGCAGACTGGGGTGGTGGTTCTCCTCTTCAAAAAGGGGGACCGGAGGGTGTGCTCCAATTACAGGGGCATCACTCTCCTTAGCTTCCCTGGTAAGGTCTATTCAGGGGTACTAGAGAGACTAGTCCGATTGTTGGTCAAACCTCAGATCCAGGAGAAACAATGCGAGTTCCATCTGTCCTGGCCATGGAACACTGGATCAGCTCTTTACCCTCAGTACGGTCCTCAAGTGGGCATGGGAGTTTGCCCATACAGTCTACGTGTTTTGTGGACTTGGAGAAGACATTCGACCGTGTTCTTCGGGGTACACTGTGGGGGGTGCTCCGTGAGTTTGGGGCCCATTGTAACGGGCTGTTCAGTCCCTATACAAGTGGTAGGACAGCTTGGTTCACATTGCCGGTAGTAAGTCGGACCCCTTCAGGGTGGGAGTTGGACTCCACCAGGGCTGCCTGTTGTCACGATTCTGTTCATAACTTTTACGGACAGACTTTCTCGGTACAGCCAGGGGGTGGAGGGAGTCCGGTTCAGTGGCCTTAGGATTCATCTCTGCTCTTTGCAGATGATGTGGTCCTGTTGGCATCACTGTGCTGTGATCTTCAGCTCTCACTGGAGCAATCCACATTCGAGTGTGAAGCGGTCTATTTATTTAACCTTTATTTAACCAGGCAAATCCCACTGAGATCATAGATTTCTTTTGCAAGGGAGGTCTGGGCCTGAAGGCAGCCTAACATGCATGTTTTTGGTCTGTGGGAGGAAACCGGAGTAACTGGAGAAAACCCAGGCAAGCACGAGAAGAACATGCAAACTCCACACGGAAAGACCCCAGGTCTAACCGGGGATTGAACCCAGGGCCTTCTTGCTGTGAGACAACAGTGCTAACCACTGAGCCGTCGTGCTTGGGATGAGAACCAGCACCTCCAAATCTGAGGCCATGGTCTTCAGTCAGAAAAGGGTGGATTATTCTCTCCAGATCGAGGGTGAGTTTCTGCCTCAAGTGGAGGAGTTCAAGTATCTCGGGGTTTTGTTCACGAGTGAGGGAAGAATGGAGCGTGAGATTGACAGACAGATTTGTACAGCATCTGCAGTATTGCAGCTCTGTACCAGTCCGTTGTGGTGAAAACGGAGCTGAACTGTAAGACAAAGCTGTCTGTTTACCAATCGGTCTACGTTCCTACCCTCACCTATAGTCATGAACTCTGGTAAGGATGCTTCCTGGGCACCTCCCTATGGAGGTGCTTCAGGCATGTCTGACTGGGAGGAGACCCCAGGGAAGATCTAGGACAAGCTAGAGAGACTATGTCTCTCTGCTGGACTGGAAACTCCTTGGAGTCCTCCCAGAAGAGCTGGAAGAGGCTGTGGAGAGAGATGTCTGGACCTCCCTGCTCAAGCTGCTGCACCAGAGACCCGAGTCCAGAACAAGAGGAAAATGATGGATGGATGGATTGGATCATTTTTAAAACAATCAAATTCTGTTTTTGTTTATGCTAATTTTAGCCTTTAACTAATCTTTTGCTATATTTATGTTTTAGTTAATGTGTTGCTCAATTTAGCTTATAGCTAACGTTTTGCTGGTCTGAAAGCAGTGTGTCTGTTCAATGCTCTGAGACGACATGAATTGGCACTTTATAAATAAACTGAAATGAAAACGAAAGCAGTGTTGGCACAGAGTGTGGTCGCTGTGGTTCTGTAATGGTATGTGCTGGTGTTTTGTGCAGCCTCTGCAGGACACAGTGCGAGATTTGAATTTTGTTTAACCTCCTCTTCACTCGTGTTCCCCTTTTTCTAAACTAATGAAAAAGGAGCGCCTCTCAGAGACTGCCGCCTCAGACACCCCGTCTACCCAAATCTGTTGTTTGTTTGTGGTTCTTCGGATGGGCTGTACTGAAATGAAAGTTTGTTGTGCTCTGTGCAGTGACAAAGCTGATTCTTCTTTTGTGGTCCTGGAAATCAGACCTGCAGATGTTTAGCCACCGACAGCAGCAGGAAGCCAAACAGGAAGCCGTTGTACTGAAAATGAATATCTGAGGAGGAAAATATGAAGAAAAAACATGAAGCTGAGAGGTGGGTGGAGCCTTTATCACACAGCTGGTGTTCTACTCCACCTAGATGTCAGAATTTCTGGTCAGAGGTTATGGATGTTTAAATTACAATGGCTGAGAATCATCTCTGCCCATGAACCATATGTTTGGGTTAGCGGAGGAGCTGGGGGAGACTACAGCTGGCTCCACGAACACCTCCTGAGCTCTGTGAGCTCGGCTGAACCAATAAGGACATGAAAGCAAGCTGAGGAGACAGCTGGAGGAAGATTCTCATGACTGGTCTTCATGCGTGTACTTTATAGGCATTTATGGTCTTCATGTGTGTACTTTATGTACATTTATGGTCTTCATGCGTGTACTTTATGTACATTTATGGTCTTAATGTGTGTACTTTATGTAC